AAGGTTGACTGTTGTGGTTCTATGCAAGTAAGTGAATAAGTAGGAAAATCAAGATTGACTGTTGTGGTTCTATGCAAGTAAGTGAATAAGTAGGAAAATCAAGATTGACTGTTGTGGTTCAGTATAAAATTATAAACAGTAAATAAGTAGGAAAATTATGTGGTTTCATTGCTTCTTTCATTATAGGTATTATTACAAGCATTTAAATAAAAACATGTATGGGCTCCATTCTAGTATTAACATTTTAAGATATAACACTATTTTCAAATACTCATACATCCTTTTATTGTGTTATATGAAGCACTAATTTCTAATTCCTTACTTTACAGTATAATATCTGTTGGTTACTTTCAGGAGACGACCTGAAGTGAAAAATAAAGAATTTATATGAATGGAGGGAATGTAGCACTCTAACATCAGAGGTCACCAGACATCCTGTTGGATTAGATGCTAAGGTCATGGAAAGTCTTTGATATTCTCAATCGAAGCACAAACAAAATTATGAAATATGACTTTATTGTAAGTCGTACATATACCTTAGCAGTGTTAGCTATATATATTTTGCACATGTAACATGCTGTGATGACTACTGTGTTTGATAGTGGTTTTGTTTGACTAACCATGTAAAAGACTGTTCAGATTAACTCTTTCAATACTCAAAAGCTTTTATCAGTCAATTTTATTAACTTTGTTCAACCAGCCAATACAAGACATACTTTACAAGTTTCAAAAAGTCATTCAGCCTATAAATATGCAATATGCTTATTTGTTAACACTTGGAAGTGATTTAATGGGACACCAACAACAGTGTGTAGGGTTAGGAGTTGATAACCATTTTTCCATTAAATACACTATATATATTTATGTATATATTTAATACCATGTGTAAATATGTAGTTAACACCAGATGACACAAAATACACTTTCACAAGTTTTGCTGAGTCAACACTAATTGTTATTGAAGAAATTTGGTCAATGAATCATATGATGTAGTAGCACATTAACCAAATAACTAGTACTAACAGTCTTTGGTCAATGAATTATATGATGTAGTAGCACATTAACTAAATAACTAGTACTAATGGTCTTTGGTAAATGAATCATATGATGTAGTGGCACATTAACTAAATAACTAGTACTAATGGTCTTTAGTCAATGAATCATATGATGTAGTGGCACATTAACTAAATAACTAGTACTAATGGTCTTTAGTCAATGAATCATATGATGTAGTGGCACATTAACTAAATAACTAGTACTAGCAGTCTTTGGTCAATGAATCATATGATGTAGTAGCACATTAAAGAAATAACTTGTACTAATGGTCTTTGGTTAATGAATCATATGATGTAGTAGCACATTAAGTAAATAACTAGTACTAGCAGTCTTTGGTCAATGAATCATATGATGTAGTAGCACATTAACCAAATAACTAGTACTAGCAGTCTTTGGTCAATGAATCATATGATATAGTAGCACATTAACTAAATAACTAGTACTAGCAGTCTTTGGTCAATGAATCATATGATGTACTATCACATTAACTAAATAACTAGTACTAGCAGTCTTTGGTCAATGAATCATTTGATGTAGTAGCACATTAACCAAGTAACTAGTACTAATGGTCTTTGGTCAATGAATTACAAAATGTAGTAGCACATTAACCAAATAACTAGTACTAATGGTCTTTGGTCAATGAATTAGAAAATGTAGTAGCACATTAACCAAATAACTAGTACTAATAGTCTTTGGTCAATGAATCATTTGATGTAGTAGCACATTAACCAAATAACCAGTACTAACGGTCTTTGGTCAATGAATCACAAGATGTAGTAGCAGAAACAGCTGTGAAACTAGTGTAAAAATTGTTCAATAAAAAATTAGGAAGTGGAAATGGGAGCATCAAAAATTAGGGAAACAAAGTAGGAATAGGCAGGATAATATTACAACACTTAGTGGTTTTTGACATGGTACAACCTCAAAGTGGGTGTGGCCATTGTTATGCCAATTCCTACTTCTGTGAGTTTATAACTTGGTAATTATTCAAACTAAATGAAAGGTGTATATAGCTAAATTTATATGTTATGAACATTGTTTCAGCAACCAAGTACAGATACGTGTATGTAATCAAATTATGTCACCCAGGCAAAATGCATGACATCATCATAATAGGGGTGTTTGATGTTGGAAGTGAGACAGGAAGCTCCAATAGTCATATTTTGCTTATAGGAAACATTATAGTTATCTGACTGGCAAAGAATTGGCCAAAATAATAGGATTGAAACAGCTGATTTTTGGAATTTGTAAATTTTTGAATACTTAAAGGATTAGCTACTGATAAAACTCAGTTCAAGTCTATAATTGGATCAAAGTTCAAAGTAAAACACAAAATAGGAATGGACAGAACAGTGGCCACACACATTTTGAGGTTGTGCTATGAGGTCTTTGATGGTTTAACCTACAACATTCTTCTGTTATAGAAAATCATGTTCTATCATACTTTACTATGCTATAGTACTTTTATAACGAACTCTGGAGCTTTGATTAATGAATCAAAAGAGCTTTGATGTACCAGTAAAGGGCATGATGATGTGGTCCTCCATGACTGCATTGATCCCTTTAGGTTGTGCCTATATGAGATCCCTTCAGTGGGCACTTCATGAATGATGGAACCTTGCTCAGGATCCTCTTTCCACCCCATTTCCCTGCGAGATGATCTGCATTGTTGGCTGGACAAAGCACATACATCGGAGGGCATGCTGATTCCTCCCCCGCATCTCGATCTACATCTTTTCACGGATACATCCTTTCAGTGATGGGGGCATGGGTCAGTCACCAGGAAACTTCAGGCCATTGATCTGTGGACAAAGCCATCTTGCATATCAGCATTCTCAAACTTCTAGTAGTACGTTGGCTATTACATCACTTCCTTCTTCTTGCCCATCATTGTATGGTGATGGTTAATTTGAACAATTCTATGGTGGTGGCCCATATCAACCACCAAGGATATCTGTGTTTTTGGACATTGGATCTATTATACTGGACCCACGCATATCACATTCTCCTTATTTCATGTCATTTGCCAGGTGCTTTCAATCTCATTGCAGATTGTCTGTCGCCACCCGACCAAATATATCCAATGGAGTAGGCATTAGATTCACTTGTTTCAGGGATCTTTGCCATTGGTGGGATTTTCCACAATTTGATGCATTTGCCATTGGCCTCAATACCAAGCTGCCTCTTTTTTGATCACCTGTATCACATCCACAGGCTTTGGCAGTTGATGAATTTAGCCAGGAATGGTCACACAAATATCTTTATGTGTACCCTCCCATCTGATTACTTCATTGGGTGATTTCTCTTGTTCACTTCACTCCTTGTCTGGGCCTGATTGCTCCCTATTAGCCAGCTCAACCTTGGTTTTCAAGGCTACAACATCTGCTCCTAACAGAAGCTGTCCCTCTTACACTTTCTCCCTTCCTTCTTCATCAACCTCGATCCCACATTCTACATCCCAATCTCCATGTCCTGCATCTTTACACCTGACTTTTGTCTGGTCCTTGGTGAGACGATCCAGTTTCGCAGGTTGGGTCCCCACCTTGTTAGCTCATTCTATACAGCCATCTTCTGTGGAAGTATGCCAATGCAAGTGGAAGTATTCCACTGTTGGTCTGCTAACAGGGGGTTTCCTGCTGACAAGCCTTCTGTGGCTCATGTGACTGTGGGCCTTTGGTCTCCTTGCTTCCTGGATATTGGGCAGCCCTATCCCATAGTTTCCATTTTTCCCAATACTGTAAGGTTTATATTTTCCCTGTTCTTACCATGCTCATGTGTTCCTTCCAGATACGTTGTCCTCCCAGACATCCAGTCTTTCCAGATTAAGACATTAATGTGGTTTGAACCACTTTCCTTGTGTTCCTTGTTTCATCTGTCCCTTAAAACATATTTCCTCCTTCTTTTAGCCTGCGGATGTCGAAGGTCAGATTTTGTATGCCATTGATGTTTCATGTACCCTTTATCACTCTACCTATCACCTTCTTTTATTCCAATCGTTCCTATCTCCCTACGACCTCAGCAGCTCAGGAGGGTTGTTCATCCTTTTCTACTATTTATCTTCCTTCTATATCCCATTTTTACCCTAGACCGGATCCAGATAGGCTTCTTTGTCTGGTCAGGGTCCTTCATTGTTATGTGGCACGTACTGTTCCTGAAGTGCCTTAAAATAAATAAATGCTTCAACTACACTTTCTCACGGGCTTACTACAAACTTATGTCCATGTTGTGAAATATTAAACAAATGTTTCAACTAAGCTTTCTCATGAGCTAAACTGCCACTTTAAAATATACACATGCTTCAACTAAGCTTTCTTATGAGCTAAGCTATAGACTTGTGGATGTGTTACAAAATTTTAGTTGTGAAATGCTAACGAAGGGCAAACATTGAACAGACCTGTCAAGAACAACTCACATTGATTTAAACATCACCTGTATATCAGTGAGAAATGAGAGGATTCTCCCATAAGGTGATTCTAACCAGATGGTTGTGTAAGTCTAAATAAATGTGTTCATGGATGTGAATGTATCAACAATTGTAATCTGGTCAGAAAGATGCTTATTCAAGACAGACAAGATGAGAAATTGTATACACAGGTAACCCTTCCCATCACCCTTTACATCATTTGATGTCCACTTCTGGGTCACCAAAGTGAAACAAATCCACTCTAATTGCTGGACCAATCACCTTGAAGTCTACCCCCATGAGTTTGAATAGATTATGCTGAAAAACCATTTAAAAGTGATGTCTATGGACCAAAAGTGAGGTTCTCCTTGACATCAGGGTTCCTCCCAGCCTCAAGGTTGCTCCAGAAGATTCCAGGTTTTCCAGTTCTCTCAGTTTATCTGTATGTGCAAGACTTGCACTACACTAACTCCATATAAGTTTTAATTTCTACTCTCCCTTAACTAATAATATTGCCAGGAGGAAATATGATGTATAATGTAACAGTTGTTAAGGTTAACTAAGTAATGTTGATAAGGTGTTAAGGTTAGAACATTATGGAACTAATAAATGTTACTGAAAGTATAAACCTTTATGTTAATCAATGTTTATCGTTAATGAATTATAAGCTTTCATACCTTCATGTTAATAAAGTATATATCTTTATGTGTAGAATTGTACTGAGTATCTTTATTCCTTGATTTACTTGTAAATTTCCTCAAGTTGGTACCAATTCATGACTGCACACCCTGGGTTTTTAAATAAATATATTGTAACGGGTGTCTTGTCACCCCAAATGATGCTCTCTCGATACACTCCCTTTCGGGGTATGCACAACCAACTTTTTATCCCATGGCACTCCTCCTCCCTTTGTTGTCTTTCACCTTCTATCCTTACTAATTGGGTCTGTCTTTTGATTCAATTGGCCTACTCTTCTCTACCTTCTTCTTCCTGTATCTTGTTCCAAGTTTCCTTCCATAAGACCTGACATCTTACTTTTTCCCTTGCTCCTCGTCTTCATTGTATGATGGAGGAGATTTTACAATGTAGCATGTGTACCACTCCCAGTATGTTCATCTCACACTATCTTCATCATGTTGAATTTTCCTTTTCATCAGGGTTTCGTCTACCACCTGTGGCCATTCTCCAGACTATGGTGCAACTTTAACTGGTAAGTTTTAATCATACTTTCTTTCTTTCAGGGGCCTTTATTTCTTTTTATCACATGGATACTGCTCTTTTGCAAGTGGTGCCTGACCAGTTATTCTTTAACTCTAAATCTGCACTGTACAGTCATGTTGACTCGTGCTTTATTTTCCATGGCTTCACACGCTCACTGTCAAGATGGGGTGTTTCACAAGATCACTTGACGGTGAATACCCTCACAATATTTTGCTTCATAAAAATGCCAATCTCCGACCTTAACATCCATGGACTGCATGGATAAAGCAGAAGGGGATTGCTGTCCATCACTGCCATACCATGGGTGAACAACTCGGTATGATCTGCTTTTCAAAATAAGGTTTAGTGGTCACCCATTGCACTATCTCTAGTGGTGACATTCTTCTGGACTCTCCACCACATTGTCACCCTCCTTTCCTCGAGTGGAGTATGAAAATCCTTACCACTTTCCAGTTCTAAACTGCTGGAGTGGTTAACTATGGAGGCATCTTTCTGAATGAGTTCCAAAAAGAAAGGGCTAGAAACATTCAGTCGAGAGTAGGGCAGTGGTGTTCTGTTGGTGTAGATGAGATGTGGCCTCCTGATACAATTTACACAACCATTGGAGTCGAGCTGTCGCCTTACTGCGTACGTGGTTTCCTGACACTATTTACACAACCATTGGAGTCGAGCTGTCACCTTACTGCGTACGTGGTTTCCTGACACCATTTACACAAACATTGGAGTTGAGCCAACACCTTATCGAATGACATGGCCTCCTGATACCAGTTCCACAAACACAGGAGTTGAACTGTCACCTTATGGGATGATGTGGCCTCCTGATTCCATTTACACAAACACTGGAGTTGAGCCATCACCTTACTGGATGGCATGGCCTCCTGATACCATTTACTCACACATGGGAGTTGAGCTATCACCTTATGGGATGATGTGGCCTCCTGATACCATTTACATAAACACTGGAGTTGAGTCATTGAAATTGCAGTTCACTCCTTCAACTGGGAGACCTCATCCTACCCTCGTGTAGATGTTGATACCCCACAAGGTGATTTTGGATGTAGTTGACTTACCAAGAATGGTCCGCCACACCCTAGCCACTCTACACCTATCCATTTCTGCAATTACGTCTTACACATTTCACACATGGGAGACGAGTATACCTGGCTCATAAGTGGTGCAGATTCTCTCTTCTGATCTTTGGATCTATCTCTCTCATTGTCAGGGGTAACCTTTGGACAATTTCAAAGGTACTTCTTTCATACCCTCAGACTGCTCCATCTTCCTCTCAGTATGGGATTCTAGCTAATCTTGTGAGCGGAGGGAAGTATCATATTGGAAGTTATAATTTTCCTATACTGATGATGTATTTCAGATAGGTACTTCCCTCCGCTCTCACTTTCCTCCCCACTCACTTCCGGTGCTTCCGTCATCTGCCAAACTTTGAAGTGAAGGTTCAGTAGAGGAGTGTAGAGGGAGTCACATGCATCACGTGAACATATGCTACCATTGGTTCAGAGATGATGCATGATGATTTATGTGAGATACATATTGGAATATAGTAATTCTAACAGGGGGGGGGGAGGCTTGTGGCATGCATAAAGAAAAAGTTTGCACATAGAGAGCAGCACTGAATGAGAATAGTTAATCTTGTGATAGAAGGTAAGTACCTATCGGAAATATATTTTCAGTATAGGAAAATCATAACATATGTTTTACAAAATTGATGGATGATAAGCAGATAAATGGTCATATTCTCCATGCATGTAAGATCTTTGGTAAACCAATCAAATATGTCACTGTGAATTTGATAAAATCAGTAGTTTACCAACCAGTCAACAAATACAGAAGACAGTGTTGTCATTTTGTATAAGTAAGGGCTTTTATGCAACCAATCAATGTATTTAGCGATATAAGAATGAGCACACTTCTCTATTTATTAACATATTTATCCTGTTCAGTATTAAAGTTTACTTTGCTTTATTGAATTTATTTTAGAACTCAGGAATTGGAATACCAAGTGTTTATCATGTTGTGGTAGTTATTTTTCTGGAATACTTTGCCTGGGGGCTTTTGACAACCACTTCTATAACAGTAAGTATAATAATATTTTATACAGTTGTTTTTCTTGAATTCTTATTATTGAATTACTGATGTGAATCATAATGACTAAATATTATGTCACTGTAATTTGTTCTTTGATTCTTTGTTTTTGGTGATCTCTTGCAAAATATTATGGTAATTAGTGTAGTTTTATTTTTGGGAAAGTTCCAACATATCTCATAACTATTGTAGAATATCCTGGCACTGCATATTTCTGTTGTGTTTGGATGTATTCTTTATTTTAAGATTCTTATTGTATTGTAATAAAAGTATTTCACTAGTGCAGGCTTTCCAGTGGCATAGCAGTATGTCTGCAGGCTTAAAACACTACAAACTGGGTTTCAATACATGTGGTGGGCAGAGCACAGATATCATGTTGTGTAGGTTTGTACATAAACTATAAAAAAACAAACTAGTGTGTATTTTTCCTTATCTTTTAGTTTGTAAAATAACAATAAGTAATATTGTTCTTTTTCTATTAACTACTTTGACAACAATAACTAATACAGTAGTTCATATTGTTCTTTTTCTAGTAACTACTTTGACAACAATAACTAATACAGTAGTTCATATTGTTCTTTTTCTAGTAACTACTTTGACAACAGTAAGTAATACAGTAGCTCATATTGTTCTTTTTCTAATAACTACTTTGACAACAATAACTAATACAGTAGTTCATATTGTTCTTTTTCTATTAACTACTTTGACAACAATAACTAATACAGTAGTTCATATTGTTCTTTTCTAGTAACTACTTTGACAACAATAACTAATACAGTAGTTCATATTGTTCTTTTTCTAGTAACTACTTTGACAACAGTAAGTAATACAGTAGCTCATATTGTTCTTTTTCTAATAACTACTTTGACGACAGAAAGTAATACAGTAGCTCATATTGTTCTTTTTCTAGTAACTACTTTGACAACAGTAAGTAATACAGTAGTTCATATTGTTGATTTTCTAGTAACTTCTACAGCAACAGTAAGTAATGCAGTTGTTCATATTGTTGATATTCTGGTTCCTCCTGTGATAACAGTAGGTAATACAGTAGTTCATATTGTTGATATTCTGGTAACTCCTGTGATAACAGTAGGTAATACAGTAGTTCATATTGTTCATATTCTGGTAAATCCTGTGGCAACAGTATGTCATACAGTAGTTCATATTTTTGTTATTCTGGTAATGCCTGTGGCAACAGTAGGTCATACAGTAGTTCATATTGTTCATATTCTGGTAAATCCTGTGGCAACAGTATGTCATACAGTAGTTCATATTTTTGTTATTCTGGTAATGCCTGTGGCAACAGTAGGTCATACAGTAGTTCATATTGTTCATA